AAAAAAATCTTTCATTTGGGGACAGGGCTTTGCTAAATTGCCATCCTCCTGCCTCAGCCTCCCAAGTAGCTGGGTCTACAGGCGTGTACCCTCACTGGCGCTTAAATAGCCCCATTCTGAAGATGAGGAAACTGAAAAGCAAGGAGTTAAGGTACTTGCTTTGTACCAAGGTGACACAGCTGATACCGTGCGAATTAAACGGGGTATCTTTATAAGAGGCCTCACAATGTCCAGCATGCTGTAGATGTTCAGTATGTAGTCACTTTTATCACGGTTTCTCTTATGGAGGCGACCACACGGTTCTCCTGATGCCCTCTGGGCCCGGGGCCATCCAGCCTGCGGGCCACCACATCACATGTGCCTACTATCTTTAGCCAGGGAAGTATTTATATCCCTGGGGGACGTTTTTTTCCCAGTACGGGGTAGCCCCAGAGTCGGTGGTGGTTCGGCGAACCCAGGTCCCCAGCGGCAACCTCCGCCCCTCAGGCTCACCATGCCGCGGGGCCCTGAGGTCCCGGTTCAGGTATGGGTGGGAGGCCAGCTCTTCCAAGCTGACCAGGCACTGCTGGTGGAGCACTGTGGCTTCTTCCGCGGCCTCTTCCGCTCCGGCATGCGGGAGGCTCGCGCTGCAGAGGTGCGCCTGGGCGCGCTGAGCGCGGGTGGCTTCCGCACCACGCTGGAGGTGCTGCGAGGCCAGCGGCCGGCACTGGCGGCCGACGACGAGCTGCTGCAGGCGGTGGAGTGCGCCGCCTTCCTGCAGGCGCCGGAGCTGGCGCGCTTTCTGGAGCACAGCCTCACGTCGGACAACTGTGCGTTGCTGTGCGACGCCGCCGCAGCCTTTGGCCTGAGAGACGTGTTCCACAGCGCTGCGCTCTTCATTCGCGATGGCGAGCGCGAGCTGGCGGCCGATTTGGTGCTGCCCGAGGCCCGCGCCTATGTGGCGACCCTGCGGCCCAGCAGCTATGTGGCCTTGAGCACTCACACGCCTGCACCTGGCTTCCTGGAAGATGAGTCACGCACAATGTGCTACCTGGACGAGGAGGAGGACGTGTGGCGTACGCTGGCCGCGCTGCCCCTGGAAGCCAGCACAATGCTGGCAGGAGTGGCCACGCTAGGCAACAAACTCTACATTGTGGGTGGCGTGCGTGGCCCCAGCAAGGAGGTGGTGGAGCTGGGCTTCTGCTACGACCCCGACCGAGGCACGTGGCGCGAGTTCCCCAGCCCACACCAGCCACGCTATGACACGGCACTGGTGGGCTTCGACGGCCGCCTCTACGCCATCGGAGGCGAGTTCCAGAGAATGACCATAAGCTCGGTGGAATGCTACGACCCGGCCACTGGCTGCTGGAGCTTCATGGCTGACCTGCCACAGCCAGCCACAGGGGTGCCCTGCGCCCAAGCGCGTGGCCGCCTCTTCGTGTGCCTGTGGCGGCCGGCAGACATCACCGCAGTTGTGGAGTATGCGGCGCGGACCGACGCGTGGCTGCCGGTGGCCGAGTTGCGGCATTCGCAGAGCTACGGCCACTTCATGGTGGCCCATCGTGACAGTCTCTACGTGGTGCGCAATGGACCTTCTGACGACTTCCTGCACTGCGCCATCGACTGCCTCAACTTGACCACGGGCCAGTGGACGGAGCTACCTGGCCAGTTTGTCAACAGCAAGGGAGCACTTTTCACTGCGGTAGTGCGCGGCGACACCGTCTATACTGTCAACCGCGTGGTCACCCTGTTGTACGCCATCGAGGGTGGCACCTGGCGGTTGCTCAGCGAAAAGATAGGCTTTCCCCGGCCCGGCTCTTTGCAGACCTTTCTCCTGAGGCTGCCCCCTGGCGCTCCGGGGCCTGTGGCCACGGCGTTGCCAGAACTGTGAGCCCTGAGCTGGCGATAGGAGAGGACACCCTGAGTCTCCCCTGAGCAGAGGCTGAGTGTGCGAGACTGATTATGAGAAGCTCCTGGGAATTTCTTGTTCCCTATCAAGAGACTCTGTTCTTGAGCCTTCTGGTGGTGTGAACATGCCCAAGCAGCTCAGGGAGCAACAGTGACACGGGGGTCTGAGCCCTCAAATCACTTAGACTCTTCTGAGAGATGGTGGGTCATGATGTCAGTGAAAGGGGTAGGAGGGTTAGGATTTGAATAATCCAGGCTTATTGCTTGTCTAGTCCTCCAGCCTGTCCATGGACTTGGCCAGCAACTGAGCATGGCTAGGAGCAGGTTAAGTGTTGTTAGCCAAACTAACAATCAGTAGGCACAAATTAGGTGCCTATCATTTTCCCAACTCAGTGCTAGGCCTAATGAGAGCTGTAGTTGCTAAGCAGGGGTCCACAAAGCTTTGAGTCTAGCCCCCAAAAAACTCAATTCTAATTGAACAGTAACAACAAAGTTTACACATACTTGTCTCCATCCACAAAGCAACATGTTGTTGTTGTTGTTTTAATTGTTTGTTTGTTTTTTGTTTTGGTACCAGGGATTGAACTCAGGGGTACTTAACCCCTGAGCCACATCCCCATTCCTTTTTTGTATTTTATTTAGAGAAGGTCTTACTGAGTTGCTTAGGGCCTCCCTACCTTGCTGAGGCTGGCTTTGAATTTGCAATCTTCCTTCCTCAGCTTGCTGAGCCATTGGGATTATAGGCATGTGCCACTGTGCCTGGCAACATGTTTTTGTTTGTTTAACCATCGATAATATAACAAAAGAATTACTGAAAAAATAAGCAGGGTAAAGGAAAAATAAGGAAGGGAAGAGATATATTCAGGAAGGTGGAGATTATACAAGTCGCAAGGAGGAGACAGATAAGATACTGTTTGAAAAGAGAGGTTTAGTTCATAGAAACTGAGAGCTCAGGAGGAGAGCTGGGAAAGACTGGAGTAGATGGTAAATCTCTGAGAGCCCAGCCTTTAAGGCAAGCAGTTGACAATGGAGATATTTTAGGGATGGGGTGAGACTGAGCCAACTTGTAGCAGACAAAACAGCCTAGCCTGGAGTGAGAGCTGTGGAAGAGATAAAGGGTTTCCTACTTTCCCTTTGGGGAGCTGGAACATTGGGAGAGGGGGCACACATGTGTAAGCCCCTTGCTAATCCCCTTTTTTACCATCACCACAGGGACAGTGGACTGTTAACCCCCATGACTTCACTCAAGGTATGAGCCCAATCCTGCCTTATCTCTTTGGTTGTATGTCTTCCACTATATTCTGCAGGTTCCATCTCTCTCCTCCTAGCCTCTGCTCCTGCCATTCCCTGGGCCTAGAATGTCTTTCTCCTCTTTTCCTCTTCTTCCCTTTTCCTTTTCCCCTCCTATCCTCCCCCTTTTCCTCTGTCAGCTCTGTACCCATCTCCTCTCTGCAGGGAGGCTGATCCAGCTCCTCATTTTCCTGATGTTGGCTGCCTGCATTGCTCAATGGACCCCTGGCTGTGACACCACTGTGTGTGTGTGTGCATGCATGTGTGTAGCCACACACATGCACAGATATAGTAAGGGCAGAGATTCTGTGCTTATCACTGAGCTGGGGTACTTCCTTACTTGCAGAATAAAATGATGAGGGCTTGCAAGAACCCAGGCTATAGGGTTCACTGGTTAGAGTTGTTGGCCGGTAGTGCTAGATGAGGACTTGTCCTCCTTTAGAATACCCAGTCCTGGCTTCTGGGCAGATGCTTGCCCAGCCCTTCAGCCCATCTGTGGACTTGGGCAGACTTCTCTGAGTAGTCCTGAGTGGTCTCTGTTGTCCAGAACCTGAGACCCATGGGAATGTTTGGCCTCATCAGAAGTGAAGAATACAGCATTGGCATGGAGCCTAGTGTCAGATAGCCTCGCAGCTTCTTCCCCTGACCTATATCCCAAGCCTGGAGAATGCTACCCTCAGAAGCTTCGGACCTTCCAACCCTGGAACAGCCTAGTCTGATAAGTCTTAACAATAAACCCTGACTTTCATATCCTGTGAGTGCTGTGCAAAGTCTTTTCACATCCATCTCCCCATTCATACCACCACAATCCTGGACATTGGTACCCTCTATAAGGCAGATGAGATCGGCAAGTTCAGAAGCTGAGTGATTGGCCCAACACAGCACAGCAGAGTTAGTTCCTCACTTGTGGTTCTGTCAGAGAATGTTTTAAAAATCATGTCAATAATTTCTTCATTTGCTAATAAGGGGACCAAAAAAAATGCAAAGCTGGTTGAAAACAACATTTGAGAGATAGGAATTTGTATAATTAATTGGCAAAAACATGCTGAAATAAGTTTGCTAAGTTAGAGATTCTGCTGGACAATGTCTTCTGGGAAATAAAACCATCATTTTTGTGGTTCTTTCCTGGAAAAAAAAATCTTTTGCATCTTCACATACATGCATGCACATATTTGTGCAGGCATCCATGAGTTAGTACAGGGCCTCACATGATCTGAACTGTAATCCACAGTGAATTATTAAAACAAAGGTGCATGCCCCTTAGTAATTAAATAGCACTTCACTGTTCAGCATTGTCCCAGAGTGACACTGAAGGACCGCAGTCCTCCTTTTGCATTTTTTCCAAGTTACGGTAATTTTTCTTAACATTGCAGAGCACTCTTTCCCCTGCTCCTGCCTTCTGCCAGTGCTGGTGAGATTTGTGACATGGAGGTGCTTGTTGATCAGCTCTCAGGCTTTTTCACTTACAGAACTCTGTGTGGCTGCACTTCCAGCTGCTCGGAGAGCTCCCTGAATTTGGTTGTTCCTTCATTCTGAGGAATCTTCCTGAGCTCTTTTCTGCATGATAATAATAGCACAGTTATTCATACAGAGCCTTCCCGTACTTCACTTAGTTGAGTATTTAAGAATTTCAAGGCTAGACAGCTCCACAGCACTCCTGCTCCTCCTCTCAAAGAACCACCCCCCAACCCAAAGGTCACATGATTGGAAGAGGCCCAGCTGGTAAGTGGCACAGCCTGACTTTGAACCAAGGCTACATGTTTGTTTTCTGTGCTGCATCCCTGCTTAGCTGACGTCCTGAGATGGCCCGGCTTCCATCTCCTTCCTTTCATCCTTTTCTCTCTGTCCTTACTTCTTTTTTGGTTCATCAGCTCCCTTGGATCCAGCCCTTTCTCCTCTCTCTCCTCGCCTTAGGACCTAGCCAGGAAACTAACGGCCCACTTCAAGAGGGTTTCTATGACTGGCCATGGGGTAGGGTGGGAGTTACACTTTCACAGAGACTCCCTCCCTCTCAGGAAGGGTGGGAGAAGTTTGCAGAAGCATCCCACCTTCTCTGGCTCAGGGGTCCTCAGAGTTAAGGCTCTGTAGTTTCCCCCAGAGCCAGTGTCTGTCTCCATTGCCCTTGGCAGGGATAGTTACCACAGCTGTTTTGTAAGTGAGGAAACCAGTAGAAAGCCAGCCTGAGTCACCCAAAGTCACACAGCCAGTTAAGTTGAAGAGCAGAAACCTGAACCCAGGACAAGGGATTCTCAGCCTCTCATACCCTGGCATCTAGACTTGATCATGCAAGAACATATTCTGGGGCACAAACTAGGGGCAGGTAGGCAAATTACAGAGGTTCTTAGGAATTACTGAGCCCAGAGGTTTTGGTTTTTAAATCTCTCTCTCTAGCTCAGAGGCAACTGAAAAATTTGTCCTGACAAACACACACACATACACACACACACACACACACACACACACACACACACACACACCACACACAGCTTAAAGCAACAGGGAACGTTTTTCTGACCCTTTGTAGCCACCCTGCAAAATGTCTTCTGGCACCCTGTCCAGTCTTCCACAAGCTTTTCTCTTAACCCTGACTCTAGATACCCTGCACCCCAAGCTTTCCTCTCCCTAGAGATTACCCTGCCTTGTTTATGTAGCTGCCTGACAGAGGTTAGGCAGAAGTTAGGCCTTCCCACACTGCCCCACACCCCTGGCCTGCTTCTATGATTTCCTCCCTCAGCCTGTTCCCATGGCAGCCAGAGCCTCCTAACCAGATGCTAGTCAGACCTGTTGCTCCTCCAGACAGAACCCTTGTGGGGGGCTCCCCATCCACTAGAGTGAAAGCCAAAGTTCTTCAGGGTCTCTCCACTCCGTTCCTTCCCAACTTCACCTCTTACCACGTTCTCCCAGCCTCCCTGCTATTCTTGAAACACACCAGGCACGCTCCCAGCTCTGGGTCCTTGAGCGATGTCCTTCTACCTGGCATACACCTCCCTCACTTAGACACCTGGCTCACACCCCCACCTCCTGCAAGGTCTTTGCTCAGATGTCACTTTGATTCCTAGGCCTCTCCTGACCTCCCTACTTTAAATCTTCCTCCCCTTTCTCTTCATTCCTTCTTCCTTTTTCCTGATAGTTTTTCTCCAGAACATTTATCAACATTTTCCATGCTATATTTTCACTTGATCCTCCTACTAAAGTTTGAGCTCCATGATGGCAGAATTTTTTTTTTTTTTAAAGCTCAAGGAATCAAACCTAGGGGTCTCTCACATGCTAGGCAAGTGTTCTGCCACCAAAGCACATCCCTGGCCCAAGGGCAGAGATTTTCATCTGTTTCATTCACTACTGAAACACCAGGATCTGAAACAGTGACTAGAACATAGTAAGGGCTTAAACTTGTCAAATGGATGAATGGTGTCCAATTTATGTCTGTTGAAAGAGAGAATGAATGAGTCAATTGATCAATCAAGGGAAAACCCACAGGAGAGGTACAGGACAAGAATCAGATTTCAGAGGGGAGGGGTACCATTTCTGGCAGGGCTGCTGGGCAGGTGGCCAAGGAAGACTTCCATGAGGAAACAAACTATCAAGTCCTCAGGACATTCTGGGAAGAGAGGATCTGAAAATAGCAACAGCTCATGGGTCACTTTTCTTCTTTCAAGGGAGGGGAAGAAGCTGGGATTGGAAATGCTAATCATCCCATGAAGAATGGCTCCTCTTGGCGGTGGAGTACACACAGGGCCTGTCTGTTTATTTTCCTTTGGCCCCAAGCAGCTGGGCCTCTTTTTCATCCTAATTGCTTTGCTTCAAGTTGCTGTCACTTCTCAGGAACAGCAGAAAATTAACTGTGCTGGTGGGAGACTCAGCTGTCAGAAGACAGGCCACCTCTGAGCATCCTGATCATGGACACAGGATGTGGGACCCTGGTGGAAGAGGTCTCCACCCAGCAATGTTCTCCACAGTCTGCAGGCTTTGGCCCCAGCTGGAGCAGGGGAGCTTGAAAAGAGGGAGCCCCTCTCTGGCATCTCAGCAACTGAGAAAGGTAAAAGGGGTCTTTTATTGGGTGGCAAGGTACAAACGCTAGTCTGACCCCTCTCTTTTCACAGGGGAGGAATATGAGGTCAAGGGGGACAGAGTATTTGCCTGAGGACATACAGCAGGCAATGTGAGCTAAATTCCTGAGCTAAATTCTACATTTCTAGAATCCTCTTCTCCTCATACCATGCTGATCTCTTGTGTTGTCTGCCAGGACACCCAAGAGGGAGGTTCCCCACAATGACCCATTAGGCGTGCCGACTTGGATTCCATACTTCTATTATTTTGTCCAGTAAAACTCACT